AGTGTGTGTGCACCATACCAGAACGAGAACACTATTGACTGTGATCAGCTGTTTAGTGTTCACTTAATATAAATCTATCACTATTTTAGTATTTTATGCAGAATTTATGTCAGATATTTCAGGGTAATATTCCTGGGTAAGAAACATATCCAAATATCATATTTAAATTGTCCAAAAGTCCTTAGTTACTCACACAGCCGCCATTTTGTTATTTTCACTTATTAATTGTTTTCTAAAAAAGTGGTAAAAGATACGAAATTGAAACTTTGCACAAACATTTATGACAACTAAACAAAGCTACAACAAAATTATGCAATGGCGGCCATTTAAAATTTTGTTTCTTAAATAACTCCAAACCCGTTATTTTACAACAATTTTACAAGAATAACTTTTTTAAGGCTATTTAATTAAAAATCGATTGACACCTTTTTGTTAAGATTGGACGAATATTAACTGAGATATCGCAGCTTTAGTAATACGTGACCGCTGGAGGTTAGTCTTAGTACATGCCGAGGCATGCGGCTAAAGTCTGCCACAACAATGCAAAGGTCTCCGTCCGATTTGTCAAGTTATTTTTATGTGATTTTAGATTATTTCGAACAATAACAAAATATTACATATCCCCAAATGTGTCTTTTTTATCAATTATTTGTCATTAGGATGGCTTAAAAACTGTACACCTTTTTACTGTCTTTAAAATTCACGCAAAACACCCAAACTTTTTATATCAGGAGTGGTGAAAGCAACGTACTTGTTTACAAACTTATCAGTTGATTTTATTGTTGCCTGAAAATGTTATCATTGTTATTATTGTATAAATGTTATTATTGTTGTTTTGTTACTACATTGAATAAATGATAACATTTTCAGGCAACAATAAAATCAGCTGATTAGTTTGTAAACAAGTACGTTGCTTTCACCACTACTGATATAAAAAGTTTGGGTGTTTTGTGTGAATTTTAAAGACAGTAAAAAGGTGTGCAATTTTTAAGCCATCCTAATGACAAATAATTGATAAAAACTGTCACCCTTTTGGGGTTATGTAATATTTTATTATTGTTTGAAATAATCTAAAATCACTTAAAAATAACTTGCAAAGCTGACGGAGACTGTTGCACTGTTGTGGCAGAGTTTAGCCGCATGCCTCGGCATATACAACAACTAACCTCCAGCGGTCACGTATTACTAAAGTTGCCATATCGCAGTTAATATTCATAGATTTGTAATTAAATAGCCTAAAAAAAGTTATTCTTGTAAAATTGTTGTAAAATCAACGGTTTTTGGGGTTGTTTAAGAAACAAAATTGTAAATGGCCGCCATTTTGTTATATGAATTTGAAAAATTCTCATAATTTTGTTGTTGCTTTGTCTAGTTGGCATAAATGTTTGTGCAAAGTTTCAATTTCGTATCATTTACCACTTTTTAGAAAACGATAATTAATAAGAGAAAAAAAAATGGCGGCTGTGTGAGTAACTAAGGACTTTCGGACAGTTTAAATATGATATTTGGATATGTTTCTTACCCAGGAATAGTACCCTAAAATATCCTACACAAATTCTGAAACACCCCGTATAAGATTAAGATCAGATTATGTATATCAAACCAATATTTTTGTATTATTTAAAATAGCAAAATAACAATTCTAAGTTATTTTTTTTTAAATTTAGTACACTAGGGAAAAATCATTGTTTAAGATTAAGACCAGATTATGTATATAAAACCAATAATCTTTGTATGATTTTTCATAGCAAATAAGGCAATCCTAAGTTAAGTTGTATTTTTTATCTCATGTTCATGAGCCATTTCTTTTGTCTTATTGCTACAAATTTAGTACACTATAGTCCTAGTGCGGCCTTGGGCTGCCTCAAGTTAGGGTTGCGAGGACTATAGGGAAAAATCATTGTTTGAGATTAAGATCAGATTATTGATATCGAACCAATAACCTTTATATGATTTTTCATAGAGGAGAAGGTCATTCTAAGTTAAGTTATATTTGTTATCTCATTTTCATGAGCCATTTCTTTTGTCTAATTATTATAAATTTAGTACACTTGGAAAAAATCATTGATTAAGATCAGATTATTGATATCAAACCAATAATCTTTGTATGATTTTTATTGCGAAGAAGGCAATTTTAAGTTTAGTTATATTTTTTATCTCATTTTCATGAGCCATTTCTTTTGTCTAATTGTTATAAATTTAGTACACTTGGAAAAAATCATTGTTTAAGATTAAGATCAGATTATTGATATCAAACCAATAATCTTTGTATGATTTTTTATTGCAAAGGAGGCAATTTTGAGTTTATTTATATTTTTTATCTCATTTTCATGAGCCATTTCTTTTGTCTAATTGTTATAAATTTAGTACACTTGGAAAATCATTGTTTAAGATTAAGATCAGATTATTGATATCAAACCAATAATTTATGTTTATCTCTTGTTCATGTGCCATTTTTTTGTTTACTGTAATAAATTTTGTAGGTACACTTAGGGAAATGTTTTATTTACTTCTGTATTTGTGTATTATTTCAAGATACTACACATGTATAAGTTTTGTATTTTTCAGATTTCTCTAATATTCTCCATTTACAGAAAAAAACATCACACAGTGATATTAATCTATTTTTGACATTTCTGTTTATTAAATAAATACTCCGTCTTTTTGGCTATGTTACCCAGCAGATTAGAAAATTTCTCGGAACTCAACACACCCTTCCGACTCCCTTGCCAGGCCGGCCGTTGATAAAAAGTTTACCTACCTACTGTCACAGTCCCAGAAATCTGTATTTTTTTTTATTTTAACTTCAAATAAAAAAAAAGTTTCAGATCTGTGGGACTGTGACAGTGGGCGAGTCACTGTTTGTTTACGACCAGCCCGACGAACGGGTCGATAGGGTGAGTTGAGTTCCAAGAAGGTGCCTAATCCGCTGGGTATCATAGCCAAACAGGCGGACTATAAATAAATAAATAAATGTCTAATCAGTATTTGATATGATTTTATATTGATGTGTAAAAAAACACAGTTTTCTTTATCTGTGCATTTACAAGAGCACTTTATTTTGCCAGTATTCATTTATTTAGTATATTTGAATAATTGAATTGGTTGTTGTAATATTTTGTAGTTTTTTAGTTTTAAAATGGTGTGGAATAAGGCAGAAGCTAGTCAGGTTTGCCCCATTTGACAACTAAAATTGTAATATTTCAGCTATTTTGTATTCAATCTTTCTTAACTTGATATCATTTGATAGGGAATTAAAAATGCTAAATAAAAGTTTTCTTGACATTCTTTCAGAATTTTTTTTTTATTTTGGGAAAAATTTTATTCTTGATTTTCTCTTCATTTTGACCCAAGGAATCACTACGTCACCCTGCCTTTTTTGAACACCCTGTATGCTACTGTAGGTCTATAAATTTATACTATTTATTAACATGTTTCTTGGTTTAATTTATGTTTTGAATTTTGATACTAATAAATAAAATATATTTATCTTGAATTATATATAAATCATGGGTTTTTTAATTTGTTTTTTTTATTTTCCTCGCCCATATATAGGCTACAGAGATACTAGCCCTAAGATAAAAGGTTGTGGCCAGAAACACAATTCAGCATAGGAAAATATCCCTGTTGTGGCAAATCTACAGACTTAGAAAGTTCAAATGGCATGATTGAGATTTTGTTAAAAATATACTATAAAAGTAATTTAACACTTTGATACACAATTAATCTAGCCCCAATGAGTACTTTTGTTTGTTTCATCACAAAACTCACAAGAGTTTTTATTTTGTAAAATATAAAAATTCTACCTGAAAATAATGAAATCAACATGATTTTATAAACAAAAAGTTTACAGAAAAATATTCAATTTTTATAACTTACAAAATTAGGGTGAAATGTACTTTTTTGTGTGAATACATTGCTATGTAACTCTAGAGCAATAAAATTTAAATAAACACCAATACAACTTAAGGTATATTCCAATTAGATAAGTTTAAGGTCCAACCAAAGGTAAGTAAGGCCTACACCGAAATAATTTATTTGTTTTTTTTTAGCTCTACACGATATTACTGGTTCCGGACTTATTCAACTTTATCTCAAACTACACACTCATGCCAAATGTCATCACAATCGTACCAAAAATACTCGAGTTATTGTGTTCACGGATGCACATAACATAAAAATGTTGATAAATAGTGAGATCGCGCCACCAACAGTAATAGCTAATTCTCTTTAGGAAAATTCGCTAATCAGCAATATCAATGTGAATTTATATAGGGAAATAAAGTTTGTAGGCTAGATATCTTGGAGTGTAAATACTTACATGTACAATCCTTACTTTGAACATTTTAAAAACAGATACTCTCCATACTGTATATTTTTTAGATTTTAGACCCCGACAAGTTGCGAGCTAATTGTCTTTACCCTTACAAAGATATGTCAACAGAATCACATGTTTATCACTTCCTTTATAAACAAGAAGGGCTTATTACAATTAATATTTATTTGGTTTGGTTACTTATTTTTTTGGTTTAGAAATACTCATTGACGTTCAATTGTTGAATGGAGCCGACTTGGTGATTAAACCTAGAGAAAGAGATAGAAATTTTAAATGAAACATAAAAAATTTAATTGATTGATTTAGTTTCATAATCCTACATAACTAAACAATTAAAATAATCTTTAATATAAAGAAATGGAGACATTTAAAATTTATTTAAAAAACATCTCAGTTTTGAGAATACAGTACAGTGTATTTTCTGGAAGGCGAAATCTTACATTTTTTTAAACCGAAGTTCCCTCCATTATAAACAAAGGACGAGTATGCACAAATTGGAACTAAAGGATTTTAAGTCTTTAAAATCCTATAGGTCCTATAACGATTTTAGATGTTCCAGGATCCATCCCCACTTAAATTCCGAGTTACACTTATCAGTAAACATCCTCACTCCAACCAATTGCATTTCTAAGTATTTATATGTTGCTTGATTCAAAGGTTAAATAAAGTGCACATTGAGATAAACCTTTTATATTAAAGATTAGACTGCTCTTTGATTGCTTCAATCAAAGGTGGGTAATGCTTTTTCAGCCAATCAAATCTAGTCCGAGCTTCACTGAAACTGTCCTCTAGATCCTCATCAACATCATTCAACCTCTCGACTGCTGCTTCGACTTTCTTGATATCGACCTTCAACTGAAACAGAAATAATGTTGAAAATGTGTTTTTTTACTCAACTGAATTGATCAGGATTTATGGCAAAACAAGTCTCTTTCCAAGGACATAATTTTGAGACATCATAATTTTGTAAAAATGTTCAAGTTCACAATAATTTGTTTGAAATAAATTACATTCAACATGAACTTTTGATATAATATCTTTAACATCCTTTATATTTCATTGCATAAGAGCTTAAATGGTATTCAACAAATTTGTAGTTTGTTTGATATTGATATGGTTAGTAATTTAACAAGTTCCCTACCATTACCCTCCATTTTTACTTGTGGTTGATTCTTTAAAATTATCGTACAGAGAAATTTTTCATTGCCTGAACAGCCTACATTATAAGATAGGCATGCAGCTTAAGGTGATCTCTATAACACCCCATGAATGTAAAGAGTTGTGCAAAAAGAAGCATGGATTTAACTTGGGATAAGTGGTTTAAAATGGAATGTAGGGTTGTAGGATTTTTTGAGTTCTCAGTTCTTAGTAGCACTGGCACACTGGTCCATAAAGATCGCTGTTGAACATTTAAAAAAATGAATATATATCACAGTCTGTTCCCAGCACACAGCACAGTTCAATGTTCGGCAAATTGTATTGGGTTGACTTTTCTTGGAAAAACTGGAAGTATCTTGCAGTAGAAGTAGTCAAACCCTATCAAATCTTTTGAAAGCTGCAATAAGTGAAGACATTGCTGTTGTGTACCATCTTTGTATTGATGTGTGACCAAAACAAACCAATTATAAATGGTATGAAATTTGTGCTATTTTTCTACTGCCCAATATCATTATAGTAATGGTACCTTTTCTAATTCCTCCTCAGAAGTAACTTGGTCAATTAGGGAAGCCATGTACATGTTGAGGATACCAACCCCTCGACCAGCATGTCTGTAAACAGAAGCAATGAGTGTATAAGATATGCTGAAGATTCTTGAACTTTTTATTTGATAGGAAATTGTAAATGCTAAATAAAAGTGTTCCTAACATTTTTCCATCAGATTTTTTAGTAATTTAAATTTAACAAATTAAATGGCCATTTTTAAATTATAAATTGGAACAAATTAACTTTTTTCCAGACCCTTCTACCTTAACATACATACCAATTTTCATAAAGATCGGTTGAAGAAATTTAAAGATTTAAAATGTTTATGTAAAAAATACAAAATGGCGGATATCTTGGTTGACAAAGTGATTTTGAAAAAGTTTTATTCTTGATTTTATTTTTATTTTCACCCAAGGAATCATTGCATAAATTATGTTCCCATATTTTTTTATCTTTCTCTAATGATGTTTTAACTAAAGTTAAATTGGGAAAGTTGTGATTTTTACACCATTCTGGTTTTATTTTTGAAAGATTTTTGGCCCTTTTAGGATTTTTGCATTGATTAGAACATTTTTCAACATATTTTCACTTAATGATGTCATAAAACATTTTGATCTCAATGCTTTCATTATGAATCTAGCCGTAGGTTTAAACCTTTTCCAAATTAAGTGGGCCAAAAATTCACTACCATCTTTTCCACAATAATAGCTTCAAAACATGTTATTTAAGTTAATTTTTTCTGTTGAAATCTCATTTTATTTATCCTCCTTAACATAGTTATAATTAAATATGTTGTGACATATACAACTATTAAAGTATTTACATTGTCTTTTATTTACACTACCTATGCGTTAGTTTGCTCTTTAATACAGTCAAACAGGAAAAGAGCAAACAGCAAAAGCTTAAATTAAATTAACTTCACTCACTCATAAATCTCTTTGAAGTTCCTGAAGAAAAACTCATAAGCGACAGAATAACCAATTCTGGTTTTCACAACATGGTTAAAAGCATCAATACAGAACTGAGGTATTATCATAGATTTGTCAGAAATCGACCAGTCAAGGTACCTGAAACATTTTAAGTTCTAAACATACAAATGGTTGTACTTGGTTTGCACCGAATTTCAAACCCTCCAAAAGAGTTTGCAAGGATAACACAAGCCTCTTACTCGTTTCCGCCAAATTGAGGCCAGATATAGCCTAGGTAGAACCACTAATCCTACCCGTCGACACTAATCCTAGATTGACTTGGAGTTTGAGTGAAGAAATAAGCAGCTTGAACTATGTGAGTAATATCTTTATGACTATAATTTAATCTTCTTTAGTCTTTGTTGTTACAAAAAAATTAACACAATTAATGGCCAAATTTCTTATCAGTTTGTGCTAGTAGCTCAATAAAAACAAAATTTCCTGTAATTTATATAATGTATTGACCAGAGGGGATCAGTTTACCGCTATAGTAAATGAGCCCAAGGGGGCAAGAATTTTAAGATTTGCTTGGGAGCGCAAAGAGAAAAATCCCTTGGCAATGAAGGGGTGGAGGGGGCGCAAATATCTCTCGGGCCCATAGCATGTCACATGCAAACTACGGGCCTGGTACTGACATATTATTTAATTAAAGATATATTTTACAAAAGATGCCACTGACTGGCAAAAGTGAGCAATTATACTTGGAAATCCGTTTTTATTTCTGGCGCATGTAACTCCTACCTAAGACTTGGGGATTTGGCTCAACTGACAGAAGGCGCTCCTATAGTAATACAAGCCTTCTGGTATAAGGGCCAGAGTTGTGCCCGTTTATATATGTATCCGTAAGCGTAAGCAAACTCGAGCAAAACTGATCCAACTTTGATTAAATCGGTAAAACATGTAAACCTATGTTTATTTGAACGTGGTCGCGAACCAGCATGATTGGTATGAGGATTGGGGTTTAAGGAGAGTTTTATGAGTTAAAAATTGGTTTTTCTAATTTTTGACATTTTTGGTCTGAAAACATAACATTTTTCCCCAAACTATTTAGTAGGGCTTTAAAAAAATCTTTGCACATTTAAGCGTTGTTGTATGTCTAACGGTTACAGAGAAATTTCATAAAAGTATAAATTTAAAATTCTCATGTTATTCTTATGTAGAATAAATAAACTGCTGTACTTTGCTTGTTTATGGATATATCATAGTCAAATTTGCTTATATAATAATAAGCTATCAAGATTTCAATAATAAAACACACCTTCCCTGTAGTAGCAAATCTATTAACTTATTAAAATTAATGTTATTTTAAATGGGAAATAAATCTGACTATCTTAAAGGTTTTTTATTTTAGTAAAAATCTAGCCAGACAAATGGAAATTCGCCTAGTCTGCGGGTTTGCTGCAGCGGGGGTAATTTTCTGTTGAAATTATACAGTTGTGTGCTTTTAAAATACAGAAAATCCTTAGCTCCCTCTGTTACTGGAAACCCTGAAAAACTTATTACAACATCACGTTCAGGAAAAGTTTGTATAAATTTTATCTTGAATATCTATTTACAAGATATTTCTAAAATGCAAGATAGTGAATTGTGTAGAGTGAATTGTTTGATTGTTGGGATGAACTAACAAACTTTATAAAAAGTGATGAAAAATTTCCAAATAGTAAAAGCCAAATTCCACTAACAATTATTTATTTTCACAAACCTTTTGAGTTCTTCAGGGTTTTCTGAGCAGCTTAAAGCATGTAGGACTTGATCAGCTTCTTCATCTTCATTTGTAGTTCCTCCGTGATATTTCAGCATGAACTCCAAATCACCGCTCTGAACTCCTTTGCAGAATAGGTACCATGGGTCTGAGATCTTGAAGTGTATTTATAGGTAATCTGAAGAAGTAAAATATCAATCATGTGTTTAAATTAAATAATTAAGCATTCAAATATACAAGCATAACCCAAAATTATAAGATTAGATAAAGTTACCATGGTTTTGAACAACACAAATTCAGCTGGTCAAAGATCGTCCATTATAATCGATCCACGAACATAAGAAAAATATTATTTGAAACATAATTTCAAACATAAATCTATGTTGAAATGCTTAAGCCACATTTAAGTGGGAAATCTGGAGTCTTAAGGAGGATCTCTTATAGTAATTGGAGTTTTTTGTGTACAAAATAAAAAAACCTTCCTATATATTTATTGATCTTTTAATCAGTGATTGTTCTAAGGAGGAAAATTATAAAGACAAATTTTATTTCTTTTAAATTTGATGTGAAAGGATCATAAAAGAGTATAAAACAAAAATCATAACAGCTTTAGGAACTGTTAGTTGGAAATTTTCCAGTTGTTTATAGCGGTTTTGGGTGTAGGCACATGAACCAGCCTGTAATTTTCTTAATCACTGTCGGTTGACCTGTCAGTTCTAGGTTGGTGTCACGCTTCTGCATCATACCGTGCATAGCCGAACTGTTTGCGGCAAATTGTTAGCTCTATCACCGTCGCTGTCAAAACGTATCGTTTGTAGGTTAAATTAAAATGTAATTTAACTGTCATAACCTAACCAAACTAACCAAACTTGTTGATAATGAAAAATCGAATGAAGGTTCACTAATCAAAAAAATAGTTCTGTAGAATTACAAATGCCTAAAATTCAATTTTTTAATTTTTTAATTATACAATTAAACTGTCATACCCTAACCAAACCAACCAAACTTGCTGATAATGAAAAAATTGAATAAAGGTTTACTAATCGAAAAATAGTTCTGATCGTAAAATTATAATGCCTTAAATTCTAACAAAAGATCTACAGTTAAAAAGTAATCGCATTCTAAGCGAAATCTTTGAAAAAAAGTTAACGCCTCCGGTGGGATTCAGAATTCTCGATGTGACCACTACCCTCAGGCCATAAATCAGGGGATTAACCCACAAAGATCTGGGCCGTTGTCCGTATCCCAGCGGTTTTAGCAAATTTCCCAATAGGGAAGTAGCTATTACCGTAGGTCTCATGGTAAGACCTAGGCCTGGGACCGATTTACTTTTTCATTTTGATGTCCCCAGAGGCCAAAAACACCATTCGTTCAAATTTTTATACATGTATATATATATCTATATATAGAGATATATATATATGTGTGTCCGTCCGGACGATAACTCGAGTAATTTTTGTCCGATTTTGATAAAATTTGGTTTGAAGGTGTAAGGCGGGATAAATTTGAATGAGTTCGCGATCCAGCATGATCGGACCATGGGAACGCGGTTTAAGGGGGGGTTTTATGGGGTAAAAATGGGGTTTTCTCATTTTTTATCCTTAAAACACAAAATTTATCAATTTTTCTCCAGACCTTTTTAAAGAGCTTAAAAAACAAATAATTTAGTATTTCATTTGTATGGTGAATGGTTAAGGAGAAAATTCAAAAAATTGTTAATTTAAAATTCCCATGTTATTCTTATGGAGAATATTGCAAAATGTTGTAGTTGGCTTCTTTATGGATATATTTTGATCAAACCTTGTGGATTTATTTATTTCATACTATTGATGTTTTAATAAAAACACACATTACTAGTTTCCCTGTAGCAGCTAACCAGGTACTCGAAAAACATAAATGTTAATTTAATAGCTTAATTGAAAATCATCCAGGCAAATGGAAATTCGCTTAGTTGGCAGGTTTGCTGCAGCGGGGGTATTTATGTTTACCATCAGTAACATTCAGTTGTGATCGCTAATATTAAGTATCTTCACAATTCATGGCTCTACCTTTACAAAAAAGTAAAAATGTATGTAAGGTATTTTCAAATATCTTATTGGTTGAATTTATGACCAATACATTTTCAAAGGCCAATGTTTAATTAAGTAAATAAAATTAAATAGTACTTACTTATGGTACTTAATCTGGGTTTCTTTCCATTTTAAATACAGTTCTTTAGCTTTCTTATTACATTCAGGTATGTTTTATTCACAAGCTGCTATCATGATGTAGTTTATTTGTACTATGTCTGTTTTCCCATCATTAGATTTACTCAATTCGTTGGCTTTTTCATAAACTTTGGTCATCAAATTTGCCATGTATTTCTGTAAGAATAAAGCAAATAAGTGGAACAGATGCAGCGAAGGTAGCCTATTTCACACTTTTTGGATCTCACCTGAGATATGGCATAGAAGTTTGGGGGGGGGGGGGATCCACTGCATTCAACCTAGAAGGCGTTCTTGTCCAAAAAAAGAGGGCAATCAGGTGTTTGGTTGGCATTGGACAACAAGACAGCTGCCGTGGACCGTTCAAAGGACAGAAAATACTCACCGTGGTGTCAATCCACATCCGTCAAACCATTCACGTGCAATAGCCACCCAACAAATCAGACATAGGGACCTACACCATCACAACACCAGACATGCATTAGATTTCACCCTTCCAATCCTCAACCTATCACTTACTGAAAGAAAACTATCCTACAAAGGAGCTAAATAAATACTATAACCTCCTTCCAGAACAACTTAAACAACAGAATAATTCATCCACTTTCAAGAAAAAACTCACAGACTGGCTGTTAGAGAACCCTACACCAAAAAATAATTCATCTCATGACCTTGAAATATGAAATTTTTCTGTAACCTATACCTGTAAATATGACGCTGTGTTATTCACAACGAATATGTTAATAAAGAATATTGTCTATTAAGAATTGATTGAAACTTACTTTATTATGATAATAATTTGTGAGTACTTATATTTTATTTAGTATTTCAATTCAATCTAATCAGACAAATAACAATTACATAAATACACTGCAAAGAGCGATTAGAATATCAAAAGTATTTGTGTGATAGCATCATTCTTTTTCCTTATGCGGGTTTTAAAATATATTTTAGTCAAACATTTTTTGAAAATCATTGCAATTTTATAACTATAATTTTATTAGGCTATTTAGAATTTTAAAATTATTATTTTTTTAGACTGAGAGTTTATGCAATTCTTAAAATAAATCATCAGCTGTTTTTAAGAAATTAAAATCACGATCCCAAATTCTAAGTGACACGACGAGTGGTAAATAAATGGTCCTCCGCTCCTCTCCAGACTGACAAAACTCACTAGATAAATAAGGAAAAAAATCAAGGGTGGTCCGTAAAAAGTCACATTTGAGATCCCATTGAAACACTTGATGACCAACTAGGTCATCTGCAACTTTCACAGCACCCAAACCATACTGCATAGTTGGGAAAGTTAGTCAAAATTTCTAACTAGTTAGAAGTTAGAAGTTAGTCCCATAAAAAGTAACTGATAGAAGTTATTAGTTAGTTGAAAAACTAACTGATAGAAAATAAAGTTAGTTTTCAACATTTGTAGAAGATAGCTGTTTGTTGGACAGTTGTTTTAAAGGATTTCATACGTAATGAAATAATGACACATCTTGGTTACTAATTGTGTTTTAATTAAATATTAATTAGACATCGTCACATTTACATTACACTTTACATTCATTACTACGACAAAATTTACTTGAAATGCCTATTAAACTTTAAAAGAAGTTATTATTCAAAATTGTTGTCGCCGATTCCTTCCTCGTCTGTTAGTAATGACTAGGCTTGCCGCTCTGAACAGGCGTTCGCAGTGAACAAAGGTGTTTTTTAATTTGTAGATTTATATTTGTATTTTTCTTATTATAATGTATTTGTTTCATGACTAGTGAATATTTTGTTAGTAAATTTATGTAAATTTCTAACTAAATAAATAATGATTTACACATTAGTTTGCCGTGCAATGTCAGTGTGGTAGCCAGGTACACTGCAACGTCGCAGATTCGCAAGTGCTACGCCCGGCTGGGAAATATCGTACAAACACCAGGCGGCCCGCTGCCAGTCACGGGAGAAATTTTTGTCTACAAATATAAATCTGTTTAAAAAAAACCTTTGTTCGCATTATAAATCTGTCATATTAATGTTATTTATTGTGTCACGGCAAACATGATGGTAATTTGAACGAAATTTTCAGTGTCTTATTAACGATGTTAGCATACGTTTTAAAAAATAACAGCAGCATAAAAACTATTGTGAATAAAATTTTTTAAATGCATGGAAATGTTAACAATGAACCTACCAATAAGCCATACAAATTTCAGAAAGATTGGCTCAGTGGTTTGTTTCCAAATAAATTTTAAACTTCAGTGTTAGTGCAAAGTTTCTTAAAAACCGGTACTTTTTAGTATCTTTCAACTATATCAATTTTTCTGGTAAATGGAAAATTTTTTTATTGACACCACGTAAAATTTATTTAAACCAGCTTATATTTAATTTTTGTTTCAACAAAATCGGTTAATTCATCTCAGAGATATTTAGGCTCAAAATCGAGTGCACATTTATTTCCCCGACAAAGGTGATACAAAAACTTGTCATCATTTAGTTTTCAATAGTTCAAAAGACAAAAACAAATAGTGATCATCTCACCTTTCCTGACATAAACATTACTTTCGATACACAAACATAATTTACAACTGTTCAACTTAAAAACGAGACCATCATACTTTTTCTCCACTTTATTAACATGCGCTCTCAAATTCGAAGCACTTGTGACTGATGCTTTAATTAATTTTGTATTGGGTAAACACAATAAACATTTTAACGCGATTCCACCCTTTTAATTTTTTTTCAACTTGTTGAAATATGTCACTTAAGTTTGGTCACTTGATATCACACTCGCCCACCATTGCAAACAAATGTTATTAATCTATACTGTACCGGTACTTAATTAAAACCGTACACCTTAATAACTTATGTATTAAAAATATTTAACTATCACTAAAATATATATAACTACAAGACAACTAAGAAACTAACAAAAAATTAACACCTGTCAAGGTCAGATAATGAACATCAACCTGAAGTGAAGACTTTGACACTTGAGATTACATATCAATCGCCAAACAAACATTCCCCCTTCCCACCCTTCGGTGCTTGGGGTGTTGTTATTGGCTGCCATTGGCTCGCCCCCCGAGTCCGCTGCATACCAAAGGGACTGGACTTTGACTTTCTCTTTCCCCACCCCCACGTTGTTTGTCACAAGGGCGCTGACCTCTCTTGTACGCACGCAGCCCTCACTGAACACGGCAAATAAATAACCCGTATTGGAAATACTTTCGCCTGACCAAAAAAACTACCGATTTAAAACTAGCGAATATATTATCTATTCGTTGGGTATAAAAATAACTGAGTAGAAGTTATTTCCAGCTCTTTTAGCCTAAAAAACTAACGAATAAAATAGAAGTTAGCCGGAAAAACTAACTAATAGCGCTATTCGTTAGAATTTATATTCGTTATTCCCAAGTATGCCATACTGCGGTATGGCCAAGAAAACAGCGATGCAAACTATCAACTTTTGGGCACTCCATGAACACAAGAGGACTTTCCTGAGGACATCTTGTGAATGTTCACAACCCTCTCTGATCTCCCTTCAACCTTCCCCACAATTTATACAGCCTAAATTGTTTCACGCCTATCAACTGGTGATGGACTTGAATAGCAATTGACGCCTCCAATCAACAAATGGACACCTCCAATCTTCATACTTGGAACTAATAATTTATTGCACTTGGGTGGAAACCAGCTAGAGTAGCAGTGGATAAAGTGGTGTTGCTCTCAGATTTCTACTAGCTCTCTTGGCCGTTACGGGAGCTCGTATAAGACCTTAATTCAAAGATAGCACTTGTAAATTCCTAATACTTTCTATACGGAGCTTTCAAACTCTTCTCTTCAATACACCCTGGACCCCCTCTATTATGGAAACCCCCCCCCCCCCAACAACAGTAATTTCCGCATCCACCCCCAACTGACCTTCAAAACCTTCTGGTGTGAACTTCACAGCAGCAGTCCCTAATTGTTCTAACCGGAGGCTCAACTCATTCTCTTAGGGCTCAGATTCTTCGCCAAGGTGGGTAGGACCCAAGTACCTTAGGTTCTAAAGTAACCCCAAGAATCATTATGCTTGGGTATTACTCAGAAGAACCGTACTGTGGTTATACTACCTGTTGAAAATCCTTACTAACCTATGTTTTGCTCATAGATAGTTTATTTATTAAGACAATTTTTTAAATTTTTATTACACACTTTAACTATTTGTGAATAAATCAATTTAAATCGGTGTTTATTCAATAACTAAATAAGTAAATCAGAAATCTCAAGAGTAATTGTGTCAACGTCAACCAGAAACAAACAAACTCACCTCAAAAACATCATAGTCAGCCATCCTGGATATTTTTTCTCCAACAATTTTAATTCTGTCAAGAGCAACCCTCCAAGGCAAATAATCTGTTTCCTGCTTTAAATAATTAATTATTCCAAAAGCTGTTTTGTAGTTTAGCTCATGAGTAAACATATCCCATGAATCAGTCAGTAGCTGAACTCTATTCAGCTCGTCTATTTTGTTGAAGTCTGGTTGTTTCAAAGCAGCTGCTATCAAATCCCAGTTTTTAGTATCATATTTTATTCTGTATAAACCTGAAAAACAAGTAATGTGTCAGATTTGTTTATCCATGGAAAATAAATTAGTTCGCATATGCTGATGACGTAGCACAAATAGCCAAGAGTAAAAGTGACATGGAAGCATTAGCACAAGTATTTTTAAAAGAAATACTGAAAGTAGTATTACAGGTAAATGAAGATAAAAATAACAATATGAAAATTGGAAGAGTAGCAGAGCCCAACAATTCAACACTGCACGTTATGGGATGGTTTCAAAATTACTAAAGAATTTAAGTAGCTAGGAGTATCATATTATCAAAATTTTACGACTATACCTACTTTTTACTTTTCAGCCCAGATTCAGGCCTTAGTCCAATGTGGCAATCGACTATGTAGTGTTTTCTCAGAGTGTTTGTGTGTTTTTTGTATTGACCAGTAAACTTTCAACCAAAGGAATATGTATCGTTGAATAGTTTGAAAAAATCTTTTTGCAGCTTGGATTGTTGAACAGATTGTTTCTGAAGTTGTAAAAATCTGAAGTCTGGATTTTATGAAAATTATTATCATTGTCATTATATTCATTTGATTCTTTTCATACTGTGTTGCTGATCTCAGCAAATTTTACTCTTAACACAGATATGAAATAGAAATAATAACCAAAAGTAGCAATCTTCTTATTCAATATGTTTTCGTGCAAACTTAATTTATTATACATTAGTAAGCTACCATAATACATATCTGAATTATTCCTAACTGTAGATCAATTATTAACGATTTTATATTAAAATGAATTATTACCTGCCATTTTATTATTTAAAATAACCCATTCCTTGTCCGTAGCTTCGATCTCAAAAGTCATTGTTCTCTCATCACAACTAAGCCAATTCTCAGGCTTGGTATTACTAAACTCAGGCTTTTGGGACGTTGAATAAGTAAGCGGTATCCACCAACAATCTTTGTGCTCTGACGGGTTTTCTTCAATTACATAAAGTTGCTAAAACAGAAAGCAACACACCTAAAAGCACGTTAAGAGAAGACAACCCCAACCCAGACTGTTCAAGAAGTCTGGACCGACCTTTAGTCATAAGATGAGTTTGAATAAATTAACAAATGAGTTTATTTCCATTTATAACCAATGAAAGCATGAGTTCCTGAATAACAAGCCATAGTAATAAACTAATACAACCTAATTAATTGTAACTTCATGAATGTTCTCTAGGAATATTTCAATAAAGAATTGGTCTTTATTGTCTAAAAGAAAGGATATTTTTTTTTTTTTTTAAAGAGTTTGGCGACCTCTTTTAACCTTGCATTTGCCCGTCCACATAGACTAAGCGCCCGTGCGTGGAACGTTTACAGCAAAGCAAGGAGTGAGCCGATACAGTACGGATCCGAACCCACGACATCGCTGCCATGGGCCCGAAGTCCGAGACACTACCGACTGAGCCACCGACTCACTACTAATTTTCAACTATTAGCAGTATTATAGTTTAATAGACATCTCACAGAGTGTGTTACTGTACCAATTATACAGGGCGTTTATAAAAGAATCATCAGGTTTTACAACATTTTAATGGCGTTAATGGAAAACAAATACGGATATAAAATATATCAACAGAAAGGATAACTCTTACATTTTTCATAGATACCCCTATAAGTGCTCAATGTGCCATCCATTAACCGTGGAGCAAGTTTCCAATATTTATGCTGTAAATTGTCCCATACACCGGCTAGCATCGCAAGGTTGATTGATTCTACAACATGCGAATTCGTCCACGGAGCTCTTAAAGGGTTTGAGGCATTGGCGGTATATAAACTTTGTCTTTTACTCCATGGAAGATATCACACACCAAAAGATCAGGAGATCTAGGGGGCCATTTGAGAAGGGTCATGTCATTATCGTTACATCTGGCAATCCATCTCAGTTTCTAAGAGAACTCTTTCACGACCTATGATTTTACGGTTTAATACAGAGTTCTTAAACTAGCGATACCACCTTTATTGTTGTGTAGTAGGAGTCCTTCTAAAATGCCCCGGAAACTCACGCTGGACAGTTATTAAAGATAAACTTGAGTTATAATGAAAAACTCAAAATGTTTTTTCTTGAATTGTAACCATTTTGAAAATGATGCAAACACGTCCAAGAAAAAACCAAGACTGATTATTGAACAGCTGATTATAAAACTTGGAAACATGCTTTTTAAGCACATGTTTCAAATATTAATGTGGGACGAGAATTGGGTTAGGTACAGGCCTTTAAAACCTGATGATTCTTTTATAAACGCCCTGTATTTTCTCCCTAAGTTTTGCTATTGCTATATATATGAGTTTGGATATTTCACGTCACATCAAAATGTACTATGCTTAACTATATGTTTCAATTTCAGCTGGACTTGGTTAAAATGTTTGTGTATTCGACAGAAATGAGCCTCTGTATCTGGCTCAATTTAACTAGTTCTGCTTTTATTCTAAGACTAGCATATCTCGAAATTGGGAATGGGATGTCTGCTGCTATAAAAAGTTGAAGATCCAAGATAAGGAACCAATCATTGGCCATTGAAAATTTTAAAATTTCAGTTCTTTTTCATGAATATTAAATATAGATGAATATATTATATTACCTTTTGTGGTATTGACAAAACTATACATTCCATCCCAATGTTATTAAAGCTACAACCAGTTTTTCAATAAAAATTGACGTAGTTGTACTGAGCCACCGGCAGAGTGTGCTAATGTAGATTACTGATTTGTGACAAATTGAAATAGTAACTTATTGCACTATATAATATTTTATGACATTTTAAAATAAAATAGAATCGCAAACTCTGCAAGTGGTTCATTCATTATTGTTCTTTTTCAAAACATTTTGTTACAGCTGGTCCATGTAAATGGGATGTCCAATATCCAAAAGTCAATTACAACTTACTGGAATTGCATCATGTTGGACAGGTTAAATTGAATGTGTTGGGTAAATGTTAAGCACAGTTCGGCTAAACTTTCTGTGGGTGGCCATAACTGGTCGGACCTAGGAGGGGGTATTTTAGCGAAAAATGTTGTCTTGCTACCAAGCGTTGTTTTAGTGCGGCTAGTAGCGACTTGTCCGCGCACACAGAAGTTTCGGCTGATCTGTAACTTAGTGACTGTCAACAATAGATGGAATATTCCTTTTCACAACTCTTTAACTAACCTGGGCCACTGTGATTTTATTTGTTGCATAATCTCTTGTCACTGTGACAAGTGGATAAGAAGTCTTTGTAAGCCAGTTTTCCATAACATTTTCCAAACTAATCCCTTCTTTTATAAGCTTTGGATCCTGTACATTGTTGAACAAACTTTCCCATAGGTCCTTGGTTGTTGCACTTGAAAACTGATATTTAGCAACAAATGCTTGTAATCCTTTTTTAAAAGTATCCTCTCCAATGATCATGGACACCATACGAATCAACACTGGGCCTAAAATGTAGAAAAATGACATTTGTTTATTTCATACCTGATTATAGTAATCCAAACATTACACATTGCAGTGAGTGACTAGTTCGGGCACTAAAGAGGTGCCATCATTATTCTGTACTAGGACATGTTTGCCATCTTTTGCTGAAGACAGTATAGTTTTTTTTTTCAACAATAAAAAAAAGTTTAATACTTACAAACCAAAACTTGTTGCCAACTCCAGTCTGTCAATTACAAGCCATAAGATTACCATAAGTAAATAATTACACCATTAAATTATTGGGCTACAAAATTTATTTTCTATTACCCTTAGTTGTTGCTTTCTATCTTATATCAAACTAGCTTTGCTGTTGATGCATGTCTTATAAAACAATTTAATTCCCTCAAAACATAAAACTTCATTTAATTTTGTATTGAGGACAACTTGGAGACAAGTTTTAAAGGCTAGTACTCACTAGGACACCCGGTCGCTTATCAACCGGCGATCTGGTTGACGAGCGACCAAATTGCACAAATATCGCCGTGTGTGTACGTGTCTGTCAATTTGGTTGAGGGCGATTTGTAGGTTGCCAGGCAACTTTTTGGTTTTCGGACATGTATCGAAAACCTGGGGGTTTCCGATCAACCATTTTATCGCCGGGCAATCAGATTTCTCAAAAAACTAGAGTGTGTACGCTTCAGCGACCAAGTTGATCAACTAAAGACGGCTAGCGCATGCGCAGTACAACGAAAAATGAACTGACGAAACAAAACCATGCTAAAATCTCAATCTGACGTCCTTTTTTTCTATGTGAGGTGTCACGGGTGTCACTGGTTGCTTAGTATGACGGAAACTGTCATCTGGAATATGTAAATAGTTCTTAAAATCCTGAGGATTTTTAAGTCGAAAAGCTCGTAGGAGGGCCGATGTGGCTGTAACTATTTCTACGTTAAAGCCACCCTTTAACCCAAAATCTTCTAAACAATTTCTTTCTTCTTCTCTACTTCATAAGTTTTAAATATAATCAAAACTTCGGCAGCTATTTCCTCTTCGTCGGGGGCATGGTGTTGTCATTTAGGTTCACACTTTGATAGGCTTAAGCGTGAACCAGAACAAAACAAATTGTCTATCCCCACCAAATTTTGATTGATTTCCAGCTTGGTTGAAAGTGCTAGGTATCCTAGTGTGTACCACCCAGCAATAAAACGTTCAATCATCAACTTAGTCGCTCGTCAACCAGGTCGCCGGTTGATAAGCGACTGGGTGTCCTAGTGAGTTGCAGACTAGCCTTAAGACTGAGAACAAAAAGGCAACTCATTCATATATGTGCATTTGCAGTATGTATTCCTATACTTTAAAGATAAAACTCGGTTCCCTGTGTTTTAAATAACTTAATAATGTTACCTTTATGAAAAAATATTCCTCCTTGGAGGTAGTTTTCTAAAACGCTTTCTGGATTTTCGATAGACATTAAAACTGTGTGGAAAGAGTTTCCGGGTTCTTCCTTGTAAATGTTTAAAGTCTGGTGTACGAAATACCGACTGGCTATGTTCCAACCGGGATAAAGCTGTAAATCAGAATTGAATCAATAGTTCAGAACTTATAATAAAAGGATACTCCAGAATTATGTCAGTTTGAGTTGTTTCAGTTTTACTGAAAAAAAATTAATGCAGTTTTCTAACTGCCCAAGATCACAGTGTATGCAATTCTTTTCTTGAGTTGATGTTTAATAGTTAAAATCTAAATATTATTTTTCTGTTAAATTTTTTTTCTAAAGAGGTTGGCAGCCTATTTTACCTTGCATTTGCCTGTCCAAATGGGCCACAGAGGCCTGTACATTCAATGTATTCCAAGGGGGGAGAAAATCAAGGGGTGAGCCAGTACAGTAAAAGGGTGAACTATACTGATATAAAGTAGTGGCAAGTACTAGGATTTTAACCCAAAAAATCGCTGCCTTGAGCCCAAAGTCTGTAGCGCTACCGATTGAGCCACCGACTCACCATATACATATACATTATTTAGATGCATTTAACAAAAGTTAACAGACAACATACACAGAATGCGGCAGAAAGGACTAATCAGTTTCATATATCACTCCTATCTCCCCCCCCCCCCTGGGACCACCACTGCAGTTGCTATCTTGGTTGGGACCAGAGATAATCGAGGTTATACTGTGTTCATATTTAAGGAAACTAAAAGTAAGTGGTTGCGACACAAACAACTTTTCTATGGCGGTTTTTATTCTGTGCATCACCGACACAATGCAATTGTGGGTTAAAAAGTAAGAAGAAAGTGATAAAAACTGAGTTCTGTGAGGACACTGGGAAATGTGTTTGCACTAGGAACATCATTTTTGCGCAGAATACAAATAAACTGCCACCAAAAACCTTGTTGTGTCCCCCAATCACTGACTAGTTTTTTGTATTGTCACTGTAAAAGAGGGTAGCCTAGGCAAGCTAGGTTGATGACCTGTGGTCAGGCCTTGCTTGCTATGAAGCGTTCTGGAGGTGTTTTGGTAAACACTGGGTGCTTTGCACTCAGTAGCTATCGGATCAATAAATAGGGCACCTGAGGTAGAGAAAGGGGTCAGTCGCCCAGGGCAAGGTGCCCAGAAGAGTTGGGTGAGTACTGGTTTCTCTGTCTCAGGGTTAGGCCCTTTAGTCTCAAGTTTTTGTAAGATACTTTGTTTGATTAGATTACGAGGGAATAGATTTGTTTTTGGGGTTCATAAATTTAAAGTTCTAGCTGCCTCCAGAACGTTTCCTACCAGCCATTCATTAGTGGGGTTTTTAGCAATAATTGTTTTATGTTTGTATAGAATAGTAGTTAGCTTTGAGATAATAAAAGGTTTGGTACGTTGAATTTAATCTGGTCCTCTCATTGAACAGTGACCCAGCTCATAACTAGAATTTCATAAGGTTAAGAACTGGGTTTCACTAAAGCTACGCTCCCATGTGTATATGCAGGATAACCTGAGGAAGTTTGAGGGGGTTTTCTGCATATCACAGCACAGCATAACCTCAATGCTGTTTGGTCTCAACCATGATAACAACTGAAAAAATATGAGGGGCTGATGAGAACGAGATCAACAGTGTCCGTTTACACCCTTCACAGCCGAAGCACTACTCAAGTGAAACTTCTTAGTCCGTTATGCTTTACCTTGCATTATAAATTTTGAATTTGATATCATATCTATGATTTTTCTTGACTGTCTAGTCTCAATTTGTGGGAATGTTAGCCGCTGGCACTTAACTATTACTACCCCATGGTAAACCCGATTAAAAGGTTACAGAAAATTGTACAGAGGCGGGAGGGGATAAACAAAGGGGTCTGCAAAGAAAAGCTTTATCAGAGAATTCACTGACAATTTCAGTAAATGGAGTGCTCAAAAACTAGGTTTCAATGTATTTCTGAAGACACACAAACAAGTGAAGTTACTCATATTAAGAGAAACTTTTCTCTACTATTTCAAATCTCCCCATGCAAGGAGTATTGAAACAATCTTTGGGGAGGCCTTTTCATGCCCCAAAGGTTAGATTAGGATCAGAAAGCTAAATTTGACACCACATAATCGAACACACCCAATAATCCAGCGCTGTGAGAAATGAATTATATTGAGGGATATGTCAATTTAATTTGCACTATGACAAGATCGTATCTGGTTGTGGTTTCTAGTCCAATTTTGCGGTCCAACCAGAACCAATCAATTTGAATAGGTATAAGGATTGTCAAGAGTAAACTGTGTTGAGAAAAGCTTTATGCATCTGTATTGCTCACATGGTTCACGGCAAGTGTGGCTAGATGTTCAGACAATGACCAGGAGAACCAATAATCATTCCACCAACTGAAGGTGACCATACCATCCAGCCACATGGTAGCCACGTTGTGTGCCATTCTGATGCTCTCTTTCAACTCGGCATGTTTAACCAGCGTGTTTTCCCTAAACAAAAGAATCAATGAATACAAAAGAAATATTAATCCATCCAAACAAAAGAAGATGATTTGGCCCCTTCCTGATTATACTGAAACAAGTAGGATTCTTATTTTCTTAAAAAAGTATATCTGCGAAACCATTTTTTATGAGTTAGTATCTGAGCTGAGTATTCAAGACTTAAGAATAATAGTGAATTAGGAGTGAATATTTTATGGGTTTAAGGGAAAATATTTTATTACAATGGAAGGGTCCGACTTATTTTCACAGTAAAGTAACAGGAAATGTGATAAATTATTGTCATGAACAATTGCATGTTTAACAAATTTAACAAAACATTAGAGTCACATTCATTGCCTTGGCTTCAAAAGAATGTTGAAGTTGAAAAGAATTATTTGATCACCTACGAATTGTTGCTTTTCAGTTGACTGTACTTGAAAGTTTTAAAGATTAAATACACTCAGAAATACTTACTCTTCAATTATCATTCCGAAAGTAGAATCGTGCCCAGAGCTTGGAAACGACACCAAATCCAAATTTGGAAGTGGACAGTTCATGCCAAAGTAATCTTTGTAGAAATTTACAGAGGGCAGAATCACTGAAGCTACAAATTTATTTGAGTCTTCTACAGCAACCTTTAAGTTAATAAGGGATGAACCCTGTGCCCAAACACGGAGAGGGGTAGTTGTTCCAGGAATCATAAGTTGATCCATCTGAAGAGGTGAGATCAGGAAGTTCACTTGATGAGGGGAGATGGGTGGAGTTCCTTCAAATGTGTACCAGTTTATTCCAAACTCTCCTCTGAATCAGATATTAAAATCAGATTAATACATAATTACTAATTAATAATCTGGGAATCCTTTTTCAACCTTTGGGCAAAAAAATTCAGATACACAAAACTTTTTTCCCAATCATAAATAATAAAATGAACTTTTCAGCGATTCAAGGGAAAAGCAGATTTGCCTATAAAATGTATTATTTAATCCAAATTTTTTTCTTGAAGAATAGCATCTAGTGACTCCTAATTTTATGCATTTATATGACTTTTTGTGAGGATAGCAGGGTAATTGAATGAGTAATAGGCTTAACTTAAAATTTGTAGCTCAGAAAAATTTTGACAGCTGTAGATTAGCCACAACGTGAATATTTAATTTGGCTGTTTAGTGCAATATTTTTACTCTGAATTTAACTAATACTTTAAGGGTATCAGGCTTGTATATTTTTTTCATTAATCATAGTTGTACAAAAGTATTATAGGTTGTTTTAACTAAATATTTACATAGAGTACCTCATTTTGCCACTCACATACCTTAATATTTGACTTTTCCACAATATCAGTGTTTGAAGTATTTTGATCAGTATTGGTACATTCTTGCGCTTGATTTCACTGGAAAAAATATTCTTTCTGAAATAATTAACAATTTCAAATGTATGCTATGTACATTCACTGTTTTTTTTTGTTCCGAACAAAATCCAATTCTAAACATAGTATGGTAATCCTAAACAATTAAGATTAACAATTTACTTAGCATTGAAAATCATTACTGTATTTTTGGGCTACGGGGAAATGGATAGTTTTACATTCACTGGAAACAGGATAGCCACTAAAGTGAATTATACAGGGTGAGTTTAAAGTCCTTTCCCCCAACTTTTTTTTTAAACAGTATAAGTTAGAATGGTTAAACTCATCGTATCTTTGTTAGACCTATCTTGTTTTTCATGGGTTCATTAACTCTCAACCTCTAAAAGGGGGGCGGTCCACAAGGAGTAAGCCGAGATTCTTAAATGTAAGCATAGGTTGATAGTATTTACATAAACTCAATTTAGCTCTCAATTTATTTTCCTGGGTTCATTTAAGGATTGAGTCTAACAAAAAAAGGCAAATTATTTCTTAAAGGGATTTTATTATGTCCAGGTTCCTCTTAGGATATTTTATGTCTATTAGAAAAATTGAGAACTTTAGGATGATGGTCAGTATCACTTTTTGAGGTTGATAAAGATTAAACATGTTCAAGGTGAGATTGTAAGGCACAGCAAGAGCTGTCAGTTAAGTTAGATAAATCTCAGCTAGAGCTGTCAGTTAAGTTCAATAAAGCTTATCATTAAAATGATTTATTCAAGTAAAACTGTTTTCAGGCCTCCTCTCCATAAGGCAATCAAAAGAACTTATTTTCACTACATTTTAGGAAAGTTAAGTAGGTACTTTTGAGCCTCGTGCTACTCTTTACACTATAAGGAAACTAGATGGGTACGGGTAATCAAACTTAGAAAATCAAAGCCAACAGAGAAACAATTATACAGGGTGAGTTTTAAATGAGTTCTCCCCCTACTTTTTTCTACATTTCTTAAGATATCAACTCCGAACCACGTCAGATCATTTTAGAGTAGTAAGTACTTCATTTTGACTGGGTATAATTTTTTGGCCGCCATCTTGGATCCGCCATATTGGATACAAAGTTTTTTTTTCAAATGTAAAGGTAGGGTTGTGACCCATCGTTTTAAATTAGATTTTTATGCTGAATACGATGCTGCAACCCGTTTTTAAAAATCTTGATCCATTCTAAAGTTATGAGAACTTTTTATAACATTATTTTTAGCCCATTTTAACATTGTGCATTTAGAAACTAAGAACATAATCGCAAAATAGTGCTAGATAAAGATTTATGTATATTATGTGGTGTATACTTATCTTTATCTAGCACTATTTTGCGATTATGTTCTTAGTTTCTAAATGCACAATGTTAAAATGGGCTAAAAATAATGTTATAAACAGTTCTCATAACTTTAGAATGGATCAAGATTTAAAAAAAACGGGTTGCAGCATCGTATTCAGCATAAAAATCTAGTTTAAAACGATGGGTCACAACCCTACCTTTACATTTGAAAAAAAAACTTTGTATCTAATATGGCGGATCCAAGATGGCGGCCAAACATTTATACCCAGTCAAAATGAAGTAGCCTACTTACTACTCTAAAATGATCTGACGTGGTCCGGAGTTGATATCTTAAGAAATGTAGAAAAAAGTAGGGGGGGAACTCATTTAAAACTCACCCTGCATATTTAAGTGACTATTGTTTAGTGAAATGTTGACAGTTGAATTTTTTTTTACCATCTTGGGGGATGGATGGTGACAGTCTGGCTGAGGACTGTAGGGGGAGGGTGGGCCACAATGGAACGTGGGCCAAAGTGGAACAACCATGTTTTTTTTTTTTAATTTGGCTATTCTGCCAACTGCTGCACTCTGTGATTGAACTCGAAAACTATTTGTGTACCCATAGTTTATTGGTGCAAATGGCTGCCTCCAACTAAGGAAGAGAAATAATTCATGTTTTGTTTTTGACAACTTAAAGTTATTTTTCCAGGTTATTTCTTAACGACATTAAACCTTCCATTTGCATTTATGAGAGGTAAGTGTCACACACCAGTATAAAGAACAATTCTTTCTAAAACGTTTAGACTAGTTAGCATATTTGTAAGAAGTTCTGAAGTGGAATTAGGGTTAGTTTTTGTGGTCAAACACCCATGAGCCACGATGAGACAATTGATGTTGGGCCACAATGGAACAGTTCCATTGTGGCCCAACATAAAGTGTCTCATTGTAACCAAAAATATTACCTATTATTTATATGTTTTTAATTTAATAGTTTAAGACCAAATTAGGGGCGTTTTCCATTAAATTATTCTTTTTGGAAATTTATCCAAGAGAAAAAATCTTGAACTGGCTGTTCTTTTTACAGATCAATAGGTCAAGAGGAAGAAAGAGAAAATCAGAGAAAGGGTCGTTTTCTAAGGAGACAATAAGCCGTGCAGTCAAGGATGTAATTGAAAAAAAAAAATGTCTCTTCGCCAGGCATCAAGGGAGTACGAACTTAAACTCACCACACTACAAAGGTATGTCAACAAAGCTCAAGCTCAAGGGCAAGACATAAGAATGGCCCCAAAATATAGAAGCCGACTGGTTACTGAAGCTGAAGAAAAGGCACTAGAAGAATACATAATTAAGTGTTCTAAAATGTGCTAAGGGAAATCCAGTAAGAATTTTAGAGAACTTGCCTATGAAATGGCAAAGATAAAAAAAAAATGTCAAAAAATTGGGAAACAAATAAAAAAGCTGGAATTGATTGGATGCAGGGTTTTTTTAAGAGACATCCTAGATTAAGTGTCCGACAACCTGAGGGTTGCAGCTTATCAAGAGCCGTTCAACCGACACAATGTTGACAGTTTTTACCTGAATTTAAAAACTGCTTTTGGTCGTCACAATAAATTTGCAGATGGAACTCGAATTTAAAATCTAGATGAAACTGGAACCACTACCGTGCAAAAGACTGTAATGTGCCCGAATTACACCTGTCTGTTTTCCCCAATTGTTATATTAAATTATCCCACAGTCCCCTCGACTCCCCTTACCTTGCACCACCTTCCGCTATCCTACGTCGCCCTATAGAACCTTCCCCGACCATTCCCTTCCATTACCTTGCCTTCCGCTACCCTACGTCGCCTTCCAGACCCTTCCTCGACCTTCCACTTACCTTACATCACCTTCCACCACCCTACGTCGCCTTCCAGACCCTTACCTGACCTTCCCCTTACCTTACGTCGCCTTCCGCTACCTTGCGTCGCCTTCCGCTATCCCATGTTGTCTACCAGACCCTTACCCAACCTTCCCCTTACCTTGCGTCGCCTTCCGCTATCCCACGTCGTCTTCCAGACCCTTCCCCGACCTTCCCCTTACCTTACCTCGCCTTCCGCTATCCTACGTCGCCCTCTACAGCCTTCCCCGACCTTCCCCTTACCTTGCGTCACCTTCCGCTCCCTACGTCACCTTCCGAAGTCCTATCCAACCTTCCCCTTTCCTTGCGTCGCCCTTTGTCATATCACGTTACCTAATTCAACCTGTTCTAGCCTTTTCACTCTGTATTTGCCCCGAAAACACAACCCTAACCTCAAATTTATCCAGAAAACCAAATCCCCATGTTAAAAGACAGTCCGATCCTTTCTCCTCAAAATCCGAATCCCAACTGACCATTTCAGGACTTCTGCGCATGCGCGAAACGGCCGCGTATAAATACAAGCCCCACACCGGAGCAGAAGTCAGTTCATCGCCGGCTCTCGTACGAGACGGACGCCCCGAATTTTCTGGCTGGTTAGTATTCGACTTTATCGACCCGTTCCTGCTAGAGAAATCTTAGCCCTCGACCCGTTCCTGCTAGAGAAATCTTAACACTCAACCCGTTCCTGCTAGAGAAATCTTAGCACTCGACCCGTTCCTGCTAGAGAAATCTTAGCACTCGACCCGTTCCTGCTAGAGAAATCTTAGCACTCGACCCGTTCCTGCTAGAGAAATCTTAGCACTCGACCCGATCCTGCTAGAGAAATCTTAGCACACGACCCAATCCTGCTAGAGAAATCTTAGCACTCTACCCGTTCCTGCCAGAGAAATCTTAGCACTTGACCCGCTCCTGCTAGAGTAATCTTAGCATAATCATAGATCCTGTTAATTGGAAGTTTCGCACTAATTCAGACATCCTACTAGTTCCTTATCCACAACCTTTCCTTTGTGGCTGTGCTGACAGAGGCTGTTTGAAAACAAATAACATTGTGTGCCACGAATCTGAGCCATTCCTTTGCTTCCCGTTGTTTCGACCCCTGGAACAGATACCCAGCAAGCACTGAGCTATCCCGAACCTCACTTGAGAGAGAGAACGTCACAAATTTTGGCACCCGAACAGGGACTGATACAGCATCAGCATCAACTTCCTCGTAACATCGAACGAAGATGAACGAAGAAAACCAAGCGACCACCGGTGAATTTCTGCCTCAAAAGGATTTTCCGCCATTGCCTACACCGCATGTTACGACAGTTACGACAGTTACGACTACCACTACAACCACCACAACCACTTTGGCACTTCTTAATCTACCCATCATGTCATCTAGCACCACGACCTTCCAACAGAAGGCACCTCTACATCAGGATGAACGTGTTGGTTGGATCTACACACTTAACAAAATACAACTACAAGAGGAGTGCCTGCTTAGAAGTATAGACAACTCGGGAAATGTTAAAGAACTGAGAAAAAGGCTTGTTGACAACTTAAGAAACCCCGTTGTTACTCCTGAGGAAGACTGGGAAAACTATAAAGTCATCGAAGAAACCACTTCAGGGCCTTCCTATAGCAAGAACCTTCTTGGAGATATTCCCAAACTTCCATCCCAATCTCGCATATTATAAAACAGAGATGATGACTATAGGATACTAGTAGACAACCTGAAAGAGATTGTTGGATTACCT